TACAGACACACAAACATATACATATACATCCATTCCCATCCTTTTTCTCTCTTATATAAGTAACTCAATCAAATATATATTTTTTAAAAGATCTATGGAAAAAAAAACAAATTCGAGCACCACCCCTTCAGCCCCGAAGTATGAGGCTTGAGCTAATAATATGTTCCACATGACACGGACGGTTCGGTCATTCTCTCAACACCCCCTCCCCCCCTTGCGTCAGTCACCCGCAGTTTTGTGGTGGCGTTGGCGGGGCTGTTAACTTCGATGCTGGCACTGCATATTAACCATTCTCTTTCGCTTTTTGTCTTTGTCTGTTTCTCTGTTTGTCTCTTGTCTCTTGTGTCTTGTGTCTTTCTCTCTCTCTCTCTTTCTCTTTCTCTCTCTCTCTCAATTCGTGTCTGTCTATGTCTGTTCCTAGTGTATGCGTGAATGTGTGTGTGTGTGTGTGTGTGTGTGTGTGTGTGTGTGTGTGTGTGTGTGTGTGTGTGTGTGTGTGTGTGTGTGTGTGTGTGTGTGTGTGTGTGTGTGCAACCATTTTTAATCCTTTTCTCTCGCTTATCTGCTTTTATTCTCCGATCGCCATGCCGATCTGTCTCTCCTCCCCTTCCTCTTTCTCCATCTCTAAATTAAGGACGCTTATCATAGCTTCACGCACTTTTCTTCTCTGACATTTTCCAAGAAGGGATATTTTACAGGCATAAAAAATCCATTCGTCCATGTTAGTTCCTCTCTCTGTTCGTTTTATTAACTTCTCTCTCTCTCTCTCTCTCTCTCTCTCTCTCTCTCTCTCTCTCTCTCTCTCTCTCTCTCTCTCTCTCTCTCTCTCTCTCTCTCTCTCTCTCTCCTTCGTTTCTGCTCTCGTCCTTGATTTCTCCTTCTCTTTCTTCTCTTTGTCTTTATCTCTCTCTTTCCTTCTCACACGTTCTCTCTGTCTGTCTCTCTCGTACTTCCTATCCTTCACAAACAGACATACACACAATCTCTCCGTCTTTGTCCTTGCCTGCCTGCCTGCCTACCTGCCTGCCTGCCTTCCTGCCTGCCTGCCTGCCTGCCTGCCTGCCTGCCTGCCTGCCTGCCTGCCTGCCTGCCTGCCTGCCTTCCTGCCTGCCTGCCTGCCTGCACTGCCTGCACTGCCTGCATTGCCTACCTGTCTACCTTCCCCTCTTTCCCTCTGTGTTTGTGTGTGCATATGTTTGTGCTATATCCTGTCTGCGTGAACATTAATGAAGGTTCTTTCCTCTCCTCCTCCTCCTCCTCCCTGCTTTCGCCTCTGTTTACCTATACACCCCAACCTCTTAGGGTTTCATCTTTTTTTTTCCCTCTCTCTCTTTTTTTTACCCCCATCAAGTACCCTTCTCCCCCTCCTCCCCCTCCTCCCCAACCGACCCACCCCCTTTCTTTTAAGGAGAGACAAACCTTCCCCCCCTCCCCCACACTCCCCCCTCCCCCCGAGCGGCCGACGCTTGCAAACTGCTCGCCCCTCCTCGAAAGGCCCACAAAACACCCACAAAGAAACGAGGACATACCCCCTCCTCCCTCCCCTCTCCCCCACCTCCCTCCCTTTCTCCCTCCCCTCTCCCCCACCTCCCTCCCTTTCTCCCCCACCTCCCTCCCTCTCCCTCCCTCTCCCTCTCCCCCCTCTCCACCCCTACTTCCAAGATTCTCAAAGAAACTCGGAATTTCTTTGAACTTAGGAGGCTGATGTTTGGTCCTCCTCGCCGGCTCCTCAAGTCCCACTCGTACATTCAGCCGACCTCTCATGCAGACGTACATATATACACATAACCACTCGTCTGCTTGAGAAGATAAGGACGGACCGAGAAAGGAAGGAGGAGAAGGGGAAGAGGGGAGGAGGGGGAAAGGGTGGGAAGAGGGAAGGAGGGGAGGAGGAGAGGAGAAGGGGAGAGGAGGGAGGAGGAGGAGGTGGAGGAGGAGGAGAGGGTGGGAGGAGGAGGGGAGGAGGGGAGTAGGGGGGGAAGAGGGGAGGGGAGGAGGGGGAGGGGGGAAGGGGGAGGAGGGAGATGTCGACACACACGCATGCTCTCGTGTCTCTTAAAAGGGAAAAGAAAAGAAAGGAAGAGCAGTATCGAAATTTGAACGGTGATGATGATGGTGATGGTGGTGATGATAATGGTGATGGTGGTGATGATGATGGTGAGTGGTGGTGGTGATTATTGTTATCATTATCATCATCATCATTATTATTATTACGATTAGTCATCGCTACCACTGCCCCTCACCATACTACTACTATTACTAATGGTGATGATGATTACGACATTAATATTATTACGATATTATTATTATTATGATCATCATTTTATTTTCATCATATAATATTATTATGATCATTACTATTAATATCATTATTATAATTATCATAATGAAGAAAAAAAAACATAGTGAAACAGGTAATAAGTAAAATAAAAAAACAACAACAGTAAAGACAATAATAATAATAACAATAATAATAATAATAATAATAATAATAATAATAACAACAACAACAACAAAATGATGATAATGATAATAATAACATCAACAAGTTAAATAATAACCAAAAAATATAGGGATTTCATTAACACGGAAAAAAAGTCGGACCGAACTGCATCATTACTATAATTATCACCTTCATTTTCCAACACGCGAGTTAGGACGAAGGGCAATTAAATAACTGTACGACTTGATTAACTATTTGCGTGCATGCGTGTGTCTTCTGTCATCGACTGTGAACGGATAATAACAATTCTCTCTTTCTCTTTCTTTCTTTTTTTTTCTCTCTCTCTCTGTTTTTCATTCGGTCTCCCTCTGTGTATCTGTATGTTCCTCTCTCTCGTCCTCTCTTTTTCTCTTTCTTTCTTTTTTTCTCTGTCTCTGTTTTTCATTCGGTCTCCCTCTGTGTATCTGTATGTTCCTCTCTCTCGTCCTCTCTCTTTCTCTTTCTTTCTTTTTTTCTCTGTCTCTGTTTTTCATTCGGTCTCCCTCTGTATCTGTATGTTCCTCTCTCTCGTTCTCTCTCTTTCTCTTTCTTTCTTTTTTTCTCTGTCTCTGTTTTTCATTCGTTCTCCCTCTGTATATCTGTATGTTCCTCTCTCTCGTTCTCTCTCTTTCTCTTTTTTCTTCTCTCTTTCTCTTCTTTTCTTTTATCTCCTTTTCTCTTCTCCTCTTTCTCTCTCTCTATTCTCTTCTCTCTCCCTCTCTTTCCCTCTCTTATTTGCTCTCTTTATATCTATATATCTGTATTTCTCTCTTCCTCCTCCACCTCTCCTTCTCTCTCTCTCCTCTCTCTCTCTCTCTCTCTCTCTCTCTCTCCTCTCTCTCTCTCTCTCTCTCTCTCTCTCTCTCTCTCTCTCTCTCTCTCTCTCTCTCTCTCTCTCTCTCTCTCACTCTCTCACTCTCTCTCTCTCTCTCTCTCTTTCGCTTTCCCCAGAATCCCTGCCCCCCCCCCCCCCACATCGAACTAACAGTCACCGCCTAGAATGTTCCGGACTGTTTAGGAATGCTTAGGAATTCTTACCACGTGACCAGGTCGCCGGCCGTTCCAGGGAGAGGGGAGGGGGGCGAGGGGAGAGGGGGAGAGGGGAGAGAGGAAGAGGAAGGAGGTGGGGAGAGGAAGGAAAGGAGGAAGAGGAAAGGAAAAGAGAGTGAGAGGGGGAAGGAAGAAAAAAAGGAAAAAGAGGGGAGGAGAGAGAGATAGAGGGGGGGGGGGGGCAGAGGAAGGGAAGGAAAGGGAAGGTGAGGAGAGAAAGAGAGAGAGAGAGAGAGAGAGAGAGAGAGAGAGAGAGAGAGAAAAGGAAGTGGGGAAAGAAGAGAGGGTTAAGGAACGAGAAGAAGGGAAAGGAAGAAGAGGATAGGAGGATAAGTGGGTGAGAAGAGGGGAGAGGAAGAAGGAAGGAAAAGAAGATAAAAGGGGGGGGGGGTAGAAGACAAAAGAAAGAAGGATAAAAGAGAAAAAGGAGGAAGGAAGAGAAGGGAAAAGGGAAGGAAAAGATGGAGAAAAAGACAGGAAAGGAAAGAGGAAGGAAAAGAAGGTAGGGGGAGGAGGAAGAGGATGAAAAGGAAGAGAAAAGGAAAAGAAAGCAGGAGGAAAATGATAGAGAAAGAGGAAAAAGAAAAAAAAAAGTAAGACAGGAGAAAAAGGAGGAAAAGAAAAGAAGATGGAGGAAGAATTAGCATAAAAAGAAGAGGGAAGGAAGCGAGGGTAAGAGAGGGGAAAAGAGGGGAAAAGAGGGGAAAGAGGGGGGAAAAGAGGGAGGGGGGGGCGGGGGAGAGGAAGGAAGAGGGGGGGGCGGGGAAGAGGAAGGAAGGGGGGGGGGGCGGGGAAGAGGGAAAGAGGGGGGGGCGGGGAAAAGGAAGAGGGGGGGTAGAGGAAGAGGGAGGGGGGGCGGGGAAGAGGGAAGGGGGGAGGGGGTGTCCGCGTAACAAATTCAGAGGCGGTTCCAGGCTGGAGGTAATAAAGAGGGACATTCTCGCCCACCTTCCAGCCGAGGTCTCCTGCGTTGCCGGGGCGAGGGAGGGGGGGAGGGGGGAGGGGGAAGGGGTGTGTCACTCCTGGCATGGGAGGGGAAGGGGGTGTGTAGCTCCTGGCATGGGGAGGAAGGGGGGATGTCACTCCTGGCATGGGAAGGGGAAGGGGGGGATGTCGATCCTGGCATGGAAAGGGGGAGGTGTCACTCCTGGCATGGGAAGTGGGAAGGGGGGGGGGATGTCACTCCTGGCATGGGAAGGGGAAGGGGGGGGGATGTCACTCCTGGCATGGGAGGGGAAGGGGGGGGTCACTGCTGGCATGGGAAGGGGAAGGGGGGGGGATGTCACTCCTGGCATGGGAGGGGAAGGGGGGGGTCACTGCTGGCATGGGAAGGGGGGGGGCTGTCTCTCTTGTACACTGCTATTGGCATGGCATATAAAAGGGGTATGTCACCATTAGCATATGAGGGAAAGGCGAGGAATCTTTCTCCTGGTTATATCCGAGACCGTGAGGATTTTACCATGCCCAGGGGTAAGGAGAAGGGGGGGGCAGAGGGTATGGAAGGGGGGGTCGGCATATGCAACAGACAAGAACGGGAGACGGGTATATGTTGCACCACCATGTGACACACTACATGGTAATATAATGTTCATGTTGGCGGCGTCAACTGAACCGGAATCTACTCAGATGTGGCAACAAGGTCACGGGGTCAAGTTGCAAGTGACGTCATCATACTCACGACCTGAACGACCTAGAGTTTGTCTGTCAATTCTCGCTCACCTGCAACAGAAGAGAGATTGATATAATTATTATCATTTTATAGTTTGTTATTATTATACACACACAGACATTCTATATATATATCATTCTATATATATAATATGCATTCTATAATAATATCTCATTGACAACTTTTGTAGAGTAATATAAATATTCTGAAAAGCAAAGCAAAGCAAAGCAAAAAAGCAAGAAAAATCTCAAACTTTCACAGCGTTTCTCCGTGTCTCTGTCTGTTAATGTATGTATGTATGTATGTATGTATGTATGTATGTGTGTGTGTGTGTGTGTGTGTGTGTGTGTGTGTGTGTGTGTGTGTGTGTGTGTGTGTGTGTGTGTCTACATGCCTGCCTTTATCTCTCTCGATACCTCTCTCTCCCATACGAAAATTACACAACCAAATCTTAAATATAAAAATCTTTGCCTCACACCGAAATACAACATTTCCGGGGCCGGTCTTCTTAACCTAACACCTTTTAGAGTGAACTGAATCATTCACTGTTACGAGAACTTTCTAGCATGAATGAGGCCACATAAGGGCAGGTGATTACCACTTAAGAATTCATCCTTTTCTTAAATATTTCAAGGGTGCGGCGCTGCGACTCCTTTCCCTTCCGTCGGTCACTTTCTCCTCCCCTTTTTCATCCTCCTGCGTTTTCCCTTTCTCTCTCTTCGTTCTTTTTTCTTTCTTCTTTTTATCTATCATTTTCTCTTTCCTGGTTTTCCTCTGAGTTTTTCTTCTTCTCCTTGTTCCTTCTCTATTTTTTTTTCTCCTCTCTTCTTCCTCCTCCTCCCCTTCCCGTTTTATTTCCTCTCCTCTTTCCCCTCCACCTCTTCCCTTTCTTCTATTCCTCCCTCCACCTCTTCCCTTTTCTCCTCTCCCCTTCTCCCCTCCCCTTATCTTTCGCTTTTTCTTCCCTTTCCTCTTCCCCATTTTTTTTGTCACTCCGTCCCCTTCCTTTCATTCCTCTTTCCTTGTTTTCTTTCATTTATTCATTGTCATTTTCACCAAACATGATAATATGCGAAAATTAAAGAAAAGAATATTACGAACATACGCAGAAAGAGAAAGGGAGGAAGAAGTAATTGAAGAAGAAATTAAGGAAGGAAGGAAAAACGGAAAGTGTAGAAGGAAGTATATAAACGAAGGGTAGAAGAAAAGAAAGGATGGAAAGAAGGAAGGAAGGAGAAGTAAAGAAAGAAAGAGAGGAAATTAGAAAAGAAAGAAGGACAGAGAGAAGAAGAATGTCAAAAAAATGAAAGAAAGAAAAGATTGAAAGAAAAAGAAAAAAAAAACGAAAGAAGGAAATAAGACAAATGTGATAAAAAACGAACGAAAGGAAAAGCCAAAGAGAGAGAGAGAGAGAGAGAGAGAGAGAGAAGCAAAGCATCACACAAGAAACACCAACAGCGAAGGAAAACGGATCGCCGCTGCCTACCCTGAAACAGACATACAGAAAGGAAATCCGGAAATACAGACATACAGAAAGGAAGTACAGAAATACAGACATACAGAAAGGAAATACAGAAATACAGACATACAGAAAGGAAATACAGAAATACAGACATACAGAATGGTAATTCAGAAATACAGACATACAGAAAGGAAATACAGAAATACAGACATACAGAAAGGAAATACAGAAATACAGACATACAGAAAGGAAATACAGAAATACAGACATACAGAAAGGAAATACAGAAATACAGACATATAGAATGGTAATACAGAAATACAGACATACAGAAAGGAAATACAGAATGGTAATACAGACATACAGAAAGGAAATACGGAAATACAGACATACAGAAAGGAAATACAAAAATACAGACATACAGAAAGGCCCGTCATAAGAGAACTTGTGCAACAGTTTAAAAGGACTTCGCGTTGCTCGTTGGGGCGGAAGGGCCAGAGGAACGCGGGGGGACAGGAAGGGGAAGTGGGGGGGGATGGGGGGAGAGGGGAGGGGGGGGAAGGGGGAAAGGGAGGGAGGGAAAGACAGGAAGAGGAGGGGTGAAGGGAGAGAAGTGGGATGGATGGGGAAGAGAGGAGAAGGGGGAGGGAGAAAGGGACGGGAAGGGGGAAAGGGAGGGGGTCAGGGGAGGAGGGAGGGAGAGAGGGACGGGAAGAGGAAAAGGGAGGGAGAGAGGGGAAGGGGAGGAGGGGTGACAGGAAGGGAAGTGGGGTGGGATGGGGAGGAGAGGGGAGGGGGGAGGGGGAGAGGGACAGGGAGGGAGAGAGGGACAGGGAGGGGAAAAGGGAGGGAGGGAAGAAGGACAGGGAGAGGAAGGGGGAAGGGAGGGAAGTGGGGTGGATGGGAAGAGGAGAGGGGAGAGGGGAGGGAGAGAAGGACGGGAGGGGGAGAAAGGAGGGAGAGAGGGACGGGAGGGGGAAAGGGAGGGAGAGAGGGACGGGAGGGGGAAAGGGAGGGAGAGAGGGACAGGGGAGGAGGAAGGGAAGGACAGGGAGAAGAGGAGGGAAGGATGGATGTGGGGTGGATGGGGAGGAGAGGGGAGAGGGGAGGGGGGGGAGGACGGCCAAAGGGAAAGGGAGGGAGAGTGGGACGGGAAGGGGAGAAGGAGAGGGGAGGAGAGAGTGAATGGGAGAAGAATAGGAGGAGCAAAAGATGAAAACAGGGTGAAAAGAAGGGAGGGAGGGAGAGGGGAGAGAAGAAGAGGGAGGAGGGAAGCAGGAAGGGGGTGGGAGGGACGGAAGGGAAGACAGAAGAGCTGGAGGAAAGAGGTGAAAAAGAGAGGGGGAGGGGAGGACAGACAGACAGACAAGCAGAGATAATTTACATTAAGTAAAAGAAGAAGAAGATGAAAAATAAGTGTGTGTGTGAGAGAATGAGAGAGAGAGAGAGAGAGAGAGAGAGAGAGAGAGAGAGAGAGAGAGAGAGAGAGAGAGAGAGAGAGAGTGAGAGAGAGAGAGAGAGAGAAGAAATAAATCCGAAGATAAATGGACATGTATGCATCTGAAGAAACATGATTTATGATGATTGTGTAGAAAGGAATGATGGATAAAGGAAGGAAGTTAAAAAAAAGTAAAAAAAAAAAAGAGAAAGTCGGAAAAATAAGGAAAAAAGGGGGAGGAGGGAGGGAGAAATGAAATGAGAAATAAAAATGAGAAAATGAGGGGAAATGAAAAAAAAAGAAGAAAACGTTATAATAAAGACATAATGATTCGGATAATAACGATGCGTTCTCAAAAATAACAACATTCGTTATGAAACCCGTTCCGTTTCAAGATATTTAATCCTAGCTGGCAACGCAACCATTTTATTTCCCTTTATCACATTACAAATATTTAATATGCACTTATCTATCATTCTAATTCCAGCATAAAGAATAGATAGATTCTCTTTTATAGCCCCATTTTTAGATATCTAAAATTAAAATAACACAGTAGTCAATATCAAATATTTGTAATATGCTGAAGGAAAAAAAAAAGTGGCTGAGTTGCCAACTAGTGCCATTCCGCTGTTGTTTCATAATCAATGTGATGATTGAAGTAAAAAAGTTACAATAATGAGATTAATTAAAAGAAACGGGATGGGGGGGGGCGAAGACGAACATCAAATAATAATAAAATGAAATCGTAATAATAGCAAGAAGAAGAAGGGTAAGTAAAAAACGAATAGTAAAAGAGGAAGGAGGAGGAGGAAGAGGAAGAGGAGAAAAGACGGAGAGAGAGAGAGGGAGAGAGGGAGAGAGGGAGAGAGGGAGAGAGAGAGAGAGAGAGAGAGAGAGAAGAGAGAGAGAGAGAGAGAGAGAGAGAGAGAGAGGAGGAGGAGGAAGAGGAGAAAAGACGAAGAGAGAGAGAGAGAGGAGGAGGAGGAGGAGGGGAGCGGACTAGAATAAATTGACAGTCAAGTCCAGACCCCAGTAATAAAGCGCTGTAGTTTTTCCTGGCCTCTAATCTAGCACTTTACTGCTCCGAGGGCGAGGTTTGCCCCTTCCCCCTCCCCCCCTTCTCCCCCTCCCCCCTCTTCCCCCTCCTACCGCTTCCCTTCCAGCCCCCTCCAGCCTCCTCCCCCCCCCCTCCTCTCGCTTTCCTTTCCCCCTCCTCGTCTCTATCTTCCTCTTCTTCCCCTCTTTCTCTTTTCCTTTTTTATTCTCCAGGGAAGGGGGAAAGGAAGGGGGAAGGGGAGAGGGAAGGGGGAAAGGGAGGGGGGAGGAGGAAAGGGAAAGGGAGGGGGATGGAGGAGAGGGAGGGGGAAGGGGAAAGGGGGAAAGGAAAGAAAGGGGGAAGGAAAAGGGAAAGGTAGAAAGGAGGGGAAAAGGAAAGGGAAGGGGAATAGAAGGGGAAGAGCCGAAGGATGGGGAGAATAGAAGGGGAAAAAGAAGGATAAATTGAAAGTGGAGAGGGAAGGGAAGAGGAGACGGATAGAAGAAGGGAAAGGGAGAGAGAAGGAGAAAAGTAGGGGCAAAGGAAGAGACCAAGGGAAACACAGGGACAAGGGAAAAGGGAAAGGGAAAGGTAGGCGCAAAGGAAGAGACCAAGGGAAACACAGGGACAAGGGAAAAGAGAAAGGCAAGGGGAGAGGGAAGCGTTGCAGAAACAACAGCAGCAACAGCACTCTGCAGCAACTGGGGGGGGGGGGGGGTATCGAGGGCGTACTTATCTTTCCTTCCTTTATCACCTTGGAAAAAAAGGGAGCAGAGAGAAGAGAAAAGGAGAGGGAGAGCGGAGATGAGGAACAGGGGCAATGGGCATAAGGAGGAATGGAGGAGGAATAGAGGGAAACGGAGAAGAGGGGATGAAGAGGAAGAATGATATCGAGAGAGGGGGAGGAAGCGAGAGACTGACAAGCAGAAGGAAAAGAAAGGGAGTGATAGAGGGAGGGAGGGGGAGGGGAGGGGGAGGGAGGGGGAGGGAGGGAGAGAGAGAGAGGGAGGGAGGGAGGGAGAGAGAGAGAGAGTGACAGAGAGAACGAAAAACAAACAAAGAACGAAAAGCAAAAGAAAGAGACAAAACG